TTTAAGAAGATTGCAACTTCTGGAAGCCACTCAAAGTTACCAAGGAGTGGCATTCCCCTGATCAAATTTAGGTTCCTTTCTTCTAGACCTGTCACGCCCAAACTTCCCCAGTAGTACTTGAAGTCCATAAATGGACTTAATTAAGGTGTATTAGTCAGGGTTTTACTAGAGGAACATACATAATACAAGGAACAGGTATAACACAAGATGTGCCAGTCATAGAGTCAGATTAGGAAGTGAGCCGAGAGTGCCTGCACACTACCGACTGCAGGAGTCAGTCCCAAGGTTTTATGCTCCCTGCAGTGTTCCATCTCTAATGGTCTCTAACAGTCAGCCATTAGGGCTGCAGTGGAAGACTGAAGGATCTGAAGCTGAAGGATCCAGTCTGGAGGCTGAAGAGTCTGCTGGAAGCCAAGCTGACTGCAAAGACTGAAGTTCGTCCAAGGAAGCAGAATGCTGACTTCTTCCTCAACCCCTTTTTGCGCTAAGTTACTCTGGGGCAGGACTCTCACAGCCAAGTGTGGCACTGCCAGGCATGCAGCCAAATTGACACAATGTATCGACCACTACAATCCATGGCACTTTGGGGATCCAGGGGTGGAATGTTATGGTTTGTGTCTAGTTGTCCCCCCAAAGCCTCACGTAAGTTGTGGAATAGATGCAGCTGGAGGAGCAAAGGATGGCTTGAGAGGCAGGGCCAGAGGAACAGGGCGGGGTCCGAAGGGCGCATGGCCAGAGAAGCATGAACTGTTAAACTGGGCAATCTGCGCTTTCTCAGAGATGTGGAGAGGGTCATCCTAGACAAGGCAGCATCCCGGCCTCTCCTCCAGTGTCTTGAAACCTCCAGTAACTGCGAGCTAAATAAACCTTTCCTTCCTTCATTTTAAGTCAGTTATTTGTCCCAGCAACAAGAGAAGAGTAACTAATACAGAATGTAAAGGGCAGGAACCTGATCCTAAGATAAAGGAACAGACTGAAAGAGTACAAAGAATGTTTAAATTGCTTATCTTTAAAAAAAAAAAATATTAAGCCATAGCTATAAAATTGACTAGTAGGAGAGCTTTGATGAGCGTCCCAGGAAGGGAAAGACTTTATACACTGTACTTCCCCCACTGTCACAGGAGCAAAGCTGAGTCCTGGGGAAATGCAGAAGCTTTGAAAATGACAAAATGAAGTAGCAAATTGCAATCTCAGACCTCCACCCCACCCAGAACAAGTCCAGAACAGTCCAACGTGGGAGTCACACACCTGAAATTTCTGAAATGATAGCAACTGAAGTAAAGAAACAACTACAGGGGCCAGGGAGATGGCTCAGTAAAATAAGTGCTTACCTGGCAAGTGCAAGGGCCTGAGTTCCATCCCTGGTTCTGCAAAAAAAAAAAGAAAGAAAGAATGAAAGAAAGAAAAGAAAAGAAAAACAGCTGGCTATAGAAGAAATCAGGTCAGAAAACATCTTCCAAGTAAATAAAGGAATGACAGCCATAATGAAAAAATTTCTTAGCATATCAAAAGAAGACCTAGATTTTAAAAAGAAGAGCACAGAAAAATTATGGGAAACATGAATGAACAATATAGGAAAGAATTAAATGCATGAAACAGATTCAAAGACATATCCAAGAAATTAAAAATTCCATTGAAATCTGGCAAGCCACTTGATCAAAACTGAAGATAGACTTTCAGACCTTGAAAGCAGCACTTCAGCTAACAATCACAAAAGGAAAGATCTTTTTAAAATAAGGGACAGCCTGCTCAGGGGGCCCCCCTCCTGTCCCTCTCTTGGACAGGAGTCTTCTTTTCCTCAATAAATATATTCTGTTCATTAAAAAAAATAAAAATAAATAATAATAATAATAATAATAATAATGAAAAAA